CCTTTGTCTAATTCGCTCTCCCCGCTCAACCTGGCTGTTTATTGAGATGCTAACTCTCTTTATGAGAGCCTAATCCTGGAGCATTGGGGATAATTTATGAAGCATTTACATTAAGAAGGGCAGCTAATTGGGAGCATGTGTCTGGGTAAGCCTCAGCGACGCTGGCGCACTACAGATGAGCCGTCGGCGCTCACTTCCTCTCCTGCAGGAGGAAGCGCCGACACGCAGACATGTAAGAGCGTGATTAACGGCCCCTTTTTCTTAGCGAAACATCTCGGCCAAATGAAAGCTTTGGAGTGAGTCGTCATAAGTCACCAAAAAAGTGAGCTGTGGCCATTTGTTATTTCTCTGTTGTTGTGTGAGGAGACTAAAGCGAAAGAGTGTGTGTGTGTGTTGGGGGGGGAAATATAGGGTATTGGTGGGATGGTGATGGCAGGCAGGTTTGAACAAATCCTGGCTTCACTCTCAATACTGGGATTTTTGATCGTACTTCAGAGACGCGGCCCCAGAACAGAGGAGGCTTGTGGGAACGATGCATCATTGTCGGGTGACAGACCTGATCATTCTTGGTTAAAAAGTACAAGAGGAGCCTTTCTGAAAGAAACCTGCTGCGTGGCCTGTTTTTTCGTTAAAAAACAGTCACCTGAATTTTACCTTAATTTTATTAAAAACTTCCAACTTCACTTTAAAGTTGATCAGATTATAGTGGAACATTTGCTTACTACAGGGAGGGTGAAGCTAATTTGTTTGTAAACTCCAGATTTAAAAAAAAAAAAAAAAAAAGAACACACTCCTGTCAGAGAATCAATAAATCATAAGTATCTGGCCGCTGATTCCCTCACCCTGACTGATTTGCTTAGTATGCTTGCCGCATATCTCACATATACCGCAGAAATGCATGAATCCAGTTACTGTCCCTTCACTGCGCCTTGTCCTGACTGCTGAGCGCTCAGCTCCACACCACGCACGGCACCTCATTTACATGATTATTCTATGGTTATATATTGGGCTTTGTCTGGCAGCGCTTGTACCTGGACTGGTCCCAGCTGGTTCTCATCAATAACAAGTCTGGACGTTCCTGCGCTGACAGGGGAAGATAAAGGAGCTTGTTACTGTCGTAGCGGGGCGCTGTGTGGGTGCAGACGGGTCTGTGGGAGAACTCAGCGGCGTGCGGCTACGTGAGATCGAGCAGGAGGCCCGAGACAGACACCAGCCCAGTATAGCCAAGTCCATGTAAATCTTTAGCTTTTGCATTAAGTTTATCGTGCTGCTACCAGAATTGACGGCGAAGATAATGGTATGGGTGCATCCATCAGCACACGGTTTGCAGTGCTTTGACCAGCACTAGCTATGCGTTTTAGCATTAAGAGCTAGCATAA